GACGTGCTGCCGGGCGTCGCGCGGTCGAAGCGCGGCGACGCGCACACCGTGCTCCTCACGGACCGCGTCTTCGAGCACGGCCACCTCGTCCGCGTTTTGACGTCGGTCTTCGACGCGGCGCGGGGCGAGAAGCTGCGCACGGACAACGCCGTCGTGAACCTCGTGCTCCTGTCGCTGCTCCTGGATTTCGGGCTTTTTGACAAGTATGGCAACCTTTTGAACCTGCCTTCTTTGACGTCCCTCGCGTCGGGCGACACGAAGGCGCTCCAGGTCGAGGTGTCGAACGTGATCCACGAGCGCGACAAGGCCATGGTCGACAACCCCGTGACCCGTCTCAAGGTCGAGGAGCTCATCTTCGAAGTGTCCTCCAAGTTCCTCGTGAACAAGCACCTCTCCGTGCGCTCCAAGGAGTTCGAGCTCATCCGCCAGCTCAACGCGGACCCGGCGTCGGGGCCCTACGTCGTCCTCGTCAAGATCTACATGTCGCTCTGCAACATCAACCGGTCCGCGGAGGTCGACTACTACAAGATCCGCTGCGACGGCGACTACCGCATCCTCATCCCGCGCAACTTCTCCCAGAGGACTTCCGACTACCTCGACGACATCACCGCGCGCTACACGTTCTGCGACGCCGGGACCGGCTTCGTGTCCTACGACGGCCTCAAGCTCTTCGACGTCCGGGAGCCGCAGCCGGAGATGCACCTCTACAAGGTCCGCATCGACAGCGGCTCGCCCGTGCAGTCCATGGTCAAGTACGTCGAGATCGACAACGTCTTCCGAAGCGTCGAAGACGGCGCGGAGTTCCTGGTCTTCGTCGCGGACACGGCGCTACGCGTGGCCGTCGACGCGGGCCGCGTCGTCGTCCGCATCAACTCCATCGCCGTCGAGTGCTCGACGATCTTCTTCAACGAGGCGCTGAGCTTCGTGCCCTGCTTCAAGTACGCGGACGGCGAGGACGTCATCCTGTTCACGTCGCCGAATCTCACGTACGCGGTCGACACGGGCGGCCAGTTCCACCACGACTACTACGGCATGAAGCACGAGCTCATGGAGTGCATCCTCAGCGAGGAGGCGCTGGTGGATGCCAACGACGCCCACGTCTTCAAGAAGATGAAGCTCTCGGAGCTCGTGACGGAGTCGAAGGTCGTCTTCCACTTCCCGGACTATTTGCTCACCGTGACGTCGCGCCAGCAGCTCGTGAACCTCTTGGACTTCGCCATCGCTGTCCGGAACGTGTCCATGTTCATCCTGGTGCTGCTCTACCTGCGGCGGTCGTCCGTCGCGTTGGACTACGTCGAGAAGGACCAAAAGGTCGTCAAGATCACGGGGCCCTGGAAGGAGGCGATTTTGTACGCGCTGGACCGCGCGCCCAAGAACGCGCACTACGACGCCATCTTCTCCAAGCAGTTCGCGGACCTCAACGCCCACGAGCGGCTGCCGCTGGGCGCGTTCGTCGAGGAGCTCTGCGGCGCGTTTTGCCGCTACCAGCGGCGCGGCGACGGCGGCGGCTACGAGATCGTGCCCACGCGGAAGCAGAAGGACTTTTTGGCGCGGATCCTGAGCGCCGAGGAGTGTTTTCATTTTAGCGAGGTCGGGTCGGGCAAGACGAAGGTGATTTTACCGCTGCTGTGCATGGCCTTTTTGTCGAACAACGCCGCGGTCCACGACTTGATGGCGCGCGGCGGCGAGGCGAAGCACGTGCTCGTCGTCCTCGTGCCGGAGCACCTCGTGCCCGACGCCAAGGCCCAGGTCTTTCGCTACTGCCTCAACCTGAACTTCCGCGACGAGTACCGCGTCTACGACGACGTCTTCGCGCTGCTCCACGACGACGTCGATTTGAGACCCCGCGGCTCGTCGAAGCGCTTCGCGCACGGCGGCTCCAAGGCGTCGCCGCGGGGGCCGGGCAAGTCCATCTTCATCACGTCCTTCAACCAGTTCAAGAAGGCGCTGACCTACGACGCCATCTGCGCCAAGGTCTGGCCCATGCGCGACCGCGTCCTGGTGCTCGTCAACGAGGTCGACGACTTCCTGGACCGCGACAAGCTCGTCTTCAACATCTGCTCGAACAAGGGCAACGCATTCGACCGCGACACGCTCGCGCGCTACCACGCGGCGTCGAGGGCCGCCTACGAGGCGTCGCCGGACGCAAACGCGGGCGCGGGCGCGCGGAATCCAAGTTATTGGACGGAGCTCGCGGCGAAGTTCGCGGCGATCCACGCGGAGGTCCAGGACGCGTCGCGGTCCATCAACAAGTCCTTCGGGATCTTCAACGAGCGGACGCTGCGCCACTGCCGGTCCAACGTCGCGCACGACGTCGAGGGCTACAAGCGGCTCATCGCGCGGCCCTACGAGTCGGTGAACCGCGCGATGCCGGGCTCCTACTACAGCGACGTCGAGCGCACGATCTACCTGACGTGGTACGTGCTCATGGAGGACACGGCCAAGTACGACGACCTGTTCAAGGAGGAGCGCAAGTTCGTGTCCTTCGAGTACTTCAACGACGAGCTCGCGGACGCGGGCCTCGACTACGACGACCTCGTCTACGGCACGGACTCGCTGTCCGAGCTCGTGGCGAAGCACCCGGCGACGAAGGCGGGGCTGACGAAGTTCTTGTACGAGATCATCCTCCGGCGCATGGAGATCCGCGACCGGAGCCGGTCGGTGAACGCGATCGACGTCGTCTTCAACTTCGACTGCGTGGGCTTCACGGGCACGCCCTTCATCGACAACTACCCCACGTTCGCCTACATCCGCCGGGGCCGCGAGGACGCCATCCCGGACCTCATCGATCGGTCCTTCTACGTCCACGGCGCCGACGGCGCGGACGACGCGACGTTCGCGGCGAAGTTCGCGGCCTTCCAGGGCAAGAACGACCACGTCCTGGTGGACTACGCGCCTTCCGACTTCGTGCGCGACGCGGCCGACGAGCTCGATGTCCTGGGGCGCATCTTAGAGGGCGAATCCACCGCGTTCAACGCCTTGGTGGACCTCTGCGGCGTCTTCAAGCGGTCCAGCGTCCACGAGGTGCGGGACCGCGTGCGGGCGGCGCGCAAGGGCTTCGCCTACCTCTACCACATCGACCAGGGCGACGGCGGCGACCGGTGTCTCGCCATCGACAGCGACAACGACGTCCGCTTCGACGAGGAGTTCTACAAGAGCCTCGTGAACCAGCACGGCGCTTCCCTGCCGTCCAAGATCTTCTTCTTCGTCGACAACCGCAACGTCATCGGCAAGGACGTGCCCTTCCAGCTCCTCTTCCACAAGCGCTTCGGCCGGCCCCTCTTCGAGCGATCGGTCGTCGTCGCGCACGACGTCGACGACTTCTCCAAGATCTGGCAGGCCATGGGCCGGAGCCGCACGATGAACGCCACGACGTTTGCGATCTACACGTCGGGCCTGGCGGAGCGGACGGGGTCCGCGGACGTGAAGGCGCACGCGCTGAGCCGCGACCTCTACGTCCGCAACTGCGACCGCAAGATCGCGGGCAACCTGTCGAGCGCCTACCAGACGCTCGTGTCTTTGGTGAATTTGGCCGCGGAGCGCTTCTACTCGACGGACGACATCGTCAACGCCTTTCTGGAGAAGATGGCGAAGACGCTCGACGCGACGTTGGACGCGCACGAGGCCAAGATCACGAAAGCCGTGCTCGGCGCGCCGCTGCCCCGGTCCATCCTGCGGCGCTTATTATTGTCGAAATTCGCCAAGAGCCCGCGCGCCGACGTGCGCGCCGACGCGTTGGACCGCGCGACGCTCGCGGCGCTCCTCGGCAACGTCGTCAAAGCCAAGTACGAGCGCGGCTCCTCCGACGGCGGCGGCGTGCTCGACGGCTTCCTCGTCTTCCTCGCCGGCGAGCAGGACGGCTTCACGGAGGTGTCCTACACGAAGCAGCAGCAGAAGCAGAAGCAGAAGCAGCGCAACGCGGCGCAGGACTCGGATACCATCGAGGCCTTCGACCGCGACAAGCAGCTCGTCGTGTCCGCGGACTGCGACGACTACTTCGCCTACACGCGGCACCCGGCCAAGGACGTGCCGCGGACGGCGCTCGAGCTGCCCCTGGCCGTGCCCATCGTCGAGCTCGCCTACGCGCTGAGGGACGGCGACGCGGCGCGGACCGCGCGCGTCTACCCGACGCTCCAGTTCCTCTACAGCCACCACATCATGCCGGACTACATCACGCCGGAGGTGCGCGACTGCCTCGCGGGCTACGGCGGCGACCCGGCGGCCTTCGTCGACGCCTTCCTCGCGAAGGCGCGGGCCGCGGCGCCGGGCGAGATGTCCGGCGCGTTCGTCGGCTGCAAGTCCCGCAGGCACTTCGTGCGCCAGAACCCGGCCTACGCCCTCGCGGCGTTAGAACCGGGCGTCTACGTCATCGGCATGAAGGACCAGTTCAACGCGCACGACCTCGCGCGGAGCCCGCTCGCGGCGTCGGTGCGCTTCGTCATGGACGACGCGGGCTTCGTGCTCCACCGGCGGCCCGGCGGCGCGAACTCCTTGGATGAATTCGGCCCCTACTGCGTCGAGCCCTACGTGCTCATGGAGGCGCTCGCGAAGCAGGAGGTCGCCGCGAACGTCCTCGACTACTACGCCAATCACCGCGACAAGCTCGACGCGGGCCTCGCGGCCTACGGCGAGGCCCAGGGCGCGGGCTTCGTCTGCTGGCGCTTCCTCATGAACGACGCGGCGCGACGAGAGAAGAAGTAGTAGGGGGGGGGCGTACATATATCTATGCCTTTGCCTGCCGCTCAAGGACGGCATCGTCGGCGGCACCGTCGACTGCACGAAGGACCGAGCAGTCGCACTTGATGCCGTCGCCCCATTGAAGCAAGCCGCCGCCGATCAGGAGAAGGCCGCCGATTGCCTCGTCCTTCGCCGCAGCAACCGCGCCGCACCGAGCAAACAAGATGGTTCGCACGCTCGCGCTCGCCGCGATCCCCGCGGCCGTGGCGCTCCGCGCGCCCCTGCCGGCCGCGACGCGCCCCCGCCGGTCCGCGGCGCTCCGCATGGTCGACCCGTCCCTCGTCGACGCGGCGACGGCCTTCGACGCGTCGGCCTTCCACAGCACGCTCGAGCTCGCGGCCATCCAGGGCCGCACGTGCGTCGAGGACGCGAGCTGGTGGTGCACGGTGCAGAACGGCGTCCAGGGCGCGATCGAGGGCCTCCACGACGGCATCCACGACGGCCTCGGCATCAAGCAGAACTCCTGGGGCATCTCCATCATCCTCTTCACGGCGTTCCTGCGCACGGTCATCTACCCGCTCAACTTCATCTCCTACGAGTCGACGGAGCGCAACAAGGCGTTGAAGCCCTACATGGACAAGATCAAGGACCGCTACGGCGAGGACCAGCAGGCCGTGAACCTGGCGACGGCGAAGCTCTACGAGATGACGGAGACGAACCCGCTCGCGGGCTGCCTGCCGGCCATCGCCCAGATCCCCGTCTTCATCGCGCTCTACCGGTCCGTGCTGAACTTGGCGTTCGACCAGAAGATCGGCGAGGGCTTCTTCTTCGTGCCGAACCTGGAGGGCCCGACGTACGACAACGGCCGGGGCATCCAGTGGCTCACGGACAACTGGGTCGACGGCGTGCCGTCCCTGGGCTGGCACGACACGCTCGCCTTCCTCGCGCTGCCCGTCGCGCTCGTCATCACGCAGTCGATCTCCATGCGGGTGCTGACGCCGCCGCCGGACCCGAACGACAAGAGCGCGCAGAACGCGAACCGCGTGCTCAAGTACCTGCCGCTCATGATCGGCTGGTTCTCGGCGAACGTGCCCTCCGGCCTCGGCCTCTACTGGATGACGTCGAACGTCTTCTCCGTCGCGGGGTCGCTCGGCGCCAAGGCCTACCTCAAGGCCAACCCGCCGAAGCTCGACGTCGAGCTCCGCGAGCTCGGCCTCGACGACGAGTCCGCGGGCGTCAAGCTCCCCGCGACGCTCGAGGAGGCCCTCGTCGAGGCCCGCGTGAACGCGCGGCCGGACCGCACGCCGCTCCGCCGCGGCGTCCAGCCCATCCCCGTCTTCCTCACGGTCGACGCGACGGCCGCCGTCGCCAACGCCGAGGACGAGCTCATGATCGCCGACGACGTCGAGATCATGTCCCGCTAGGGGGAGAGCCGCCGCGTCCCCGCGCCCCGTATAAATCTCAAGTCGTCGAGTTTAGCGAACCTTCCTTGTGGACGATCCCGCGCGCGGCACTGCGCGCGAAACCCGACGGCTTGACGAGGGCCCACGGTGCCCCCGCCCGCCTCTGCTTGCAGTTCGCTCGTTCCCGAGCACGTGACGGACGAGGGATGGCGTCCAGCGAGGGAGGCGACGAGGAAGAAGTGGTGGCGACGGTGGCGCCCGCCGATGATGATCGACTATTGTTAAAGCTGGTCCCGGTCCTGGACTTTGTCTCCGCTCAGCTCGACATCGCTGCGACCGTCGCGTGCCTCAATCGCGCGTTCCGCAAGGACATGGGCGTGTTCCGCGCGGGGGTCGACGACGTCGGAACCATCGCGCGACTCCGCGGCGTCGGCGGCGGCCGCCGGAACTACGTCGAGGGCCATCCACATGCCGGTCGAGTCGACGGTCCGTTGGCAGACACAGCGGTCATCCTCCTTACGCGGTTTTACACTGGACTGGTTTGGCTTGACTTGCGTCAGTGCTTCGTGACGAAGTCTCTGCTTCTCCTTGTTCCAGACACGTTTCCAAACCTTCGGTTTCTGATGCTCCACAACATTCAAAAACGTCTTGAACGAACTGAAGTTTGGGCTCATAATGCGAACTTCTGGGGACCTGATCGCGTATGTCCTCTTACCGTGAAGCGGCTTACGTTGCGCATGCCAAAGCTACGCGTCGTCGCTAACATGGCCAACGTGTGTCTGCACCATCCCACCGACTCTCCACAGTATCTCTTAGCGCCAGCTTGCCGGAGCGTTCGCGCCATCTACCATCAATACTTGACGTCACCACACGCCCGGCGTGCGCCCGCGGATGCCGAACTGTTGTTTCGCGGACGCCGCATCCGCGATGACGAGACTTTCCTGGGATTGCACGCTCAATTACGCGAGACCGATGGCAATGATGACAGCTGGTTTGAGCCATTGGAGATTCACGCTCGCTATGCGCAGCCGCCAGAAGTACCGCAGCCATCCGATGATCAGCCGCCCCTAGAAGGGCCGCGATTTGGACAACCCGAAGAAGAATGGTTGGACGCGGCGATTGATGAAATTCTGGCGCGCCCTGCGCCGAACCAAGTCGACGGCCGCCGCCGCCGCGACTGGCAGCCGCAGCAGCAAGGCTAGCGCGCCCGGGGACCTACAACACCCCTTAGATGAGCCCCTCGAAGCCCGTTTCCTTCTCCGCGAGGAGCGGGGTCTTCTGCCGGACGAGGTAGTCCAGGTACCAGCCGCTCGACCAGGTCGTGCGGAACTTGTACTTGGCGTCGTCGTAGGGCAGTTTCCAGTCCCGCGCGATGCGGAGCTCGACGTCCGGCCCGAGCATGTCGCACAGCAGGATCTGGTACGTCAGGTTCGACAGATTCATCGTGAGGTCCTCCTTCTTGTTCTTCTTCGCTTTCCCCTCCTTCAAGCGCGCCTGCGCGACCAGGTCGAGGACGACGCTGGCCTTGCGCGGCGGCGCGCCGTCGTCGTAGGCCGCCTCGAGCGCCTCGGCCTTGACCAGAATCTCCTCGAGCTTTTCTTCGTACGTGGCGCGCGCGTCCGCGGCCTTGACGGTCTCCGGGTTCACGGGCACGCCCGCAAAGTCCGCCGCGTAGTAGCAGGCGCTCATGCAGAACACGGTCTTGGCCGTGCCGCTCGAGAGCTCGGAGCTGTAGACCATGGCGTCGATGACGCTCGACGCGAACTCGCGCCAGGCCTTCTGGCGCTCCCGCACGGGCTTCTCCGAATCGAAAAAGGCCCGGCCCATCTTGTTGCCGAGCTGGATGAGGTAGGGCGCCGTCGTCCGCCGCACGGCCACCTTGGGCGACCCGAAGACGTTGGCCGCGGGCACGTCGAATCGCGTCCCGCCGCGCGGCTCTTCCATGAAAACGTCGTAGGACCACGAGCTCCGCAGGGCCGCGTCCGGGTGCGTGCCGTCGGCGACGCGCCGCCGCGCCGCGATGACGCCGTGGTCGTGCTCCTTGACGAACTGGACGCGCTCGCCGATCGTCGGCGCCGAGATGCAGGAGAACTGCGTCGACCCGTTGCCGACGGCGAGGAGCGCGTCCGGGAGCGCGTAGCGCATGTGGCGGTGCGCGTAGAGCACGGACCGCTCCTCGTAGACCGACTCCTCGAGGTCCGTCAGACGCACGACCGTGCCGTCGTAGCGGTCCGCGAGGCGCGAGAATAAAGCGGACGCCGTGTTCCGGATCTCGGGAGACTCGTTGCGGTACCACGCGCCGGCCCCGAAGACCACCTTCGGCCCCCGCCATTTCGCGTAGGGGTGGACGCCCTCGAGGACGACGTGGCTCCAGAAGCCGAAGCGGACCTCCGGCACGACGGCGACGGACGCGCCGAGCGCGACCAGCGCTTTGCCGAGCTCCGGCCGCCCGTCCCACTCCACCGCGACGTGGCCGCCGCCGTGATCGGCGACCACCGTCCCCCGGTCGCCGGGCAAGACGATGGCATCCGGCGCCGCGGTGTCGCCCAGGGGCACGGCGTCGCCCCCCGTGGCCGTCGAGTACCGTAAAGGTCTTTTCGCCTCCACGCGATCCAAAACCTCCGGCGTCGCGGTGTTGTCGAGCGTCGCGACCCGATTCAGGAGGCGGAACGCCGTCTCGACGTCGTAGTCTGCGCCGTTGCAGGACACGACGGCGGAGCCCACGTGGATTTTCGAGTCTTTTTTCACTTGCTTCACCTCGAAGCACTTCGGCGCGCCGACCTTCGCGATGGCCCAAAAGCCCGCGGCGGCGAACATGTCCTTCTCCGACGACGTCGCCGGCGGGTCGAACTTGCCCGCCTCGAGCACGAGCCTCGGCGCGAGCTTGTCTTCGACGAACTGCTCGAAGGGCGCGACGTCGTCGTGCATGCAGCACTCCCGCACCGGAATCTTCCCCCCCTTTTCATTCAAGAACGACCCCTGGGCCATGTCCTCGACGAGCACGGCGGGCTTCTCGTTCTCCGTCGTCCGCTCGATGAAGGAGCAGAGGATGGTCTTCGCCTCGCCCGTGCCGATGTCGAAGATGACGCACTTGTGGCTCTCGGCGCCGAGCTGCGCGCGCCGGTCGACGTAGGCGGCCATCTCCGCCTGCTTCTGCCGCTTGTTTAGGGCGGCCTCCGTCGTCGCGAAGGTGCTGTGGGTCATCTCCTCGTTGCTGTAGGCCGCGATGCCGCAGATGGCTCGCTCGCGGAAGTACGCGATGGCCTCTTTGTCCACCTTCCGCGCGTCCTCGGGCGCGGCGCGCGCGGTCGACATGGCGGCGACCTTGGCCGAGCGCAAGGCGAACCAGGGCCGCTTCCGCGGCGGCGCCTTGCCGTAGAGCGTCGCCGGGTCGCGCGGCGCGGCGACGCCCTCGGCGCCGCGGAAGAGGCCGAGCGACGCGTTCGGGTGCCGGCTGAAGAAGAAGGCCGCGAAGGAGGCCGTCGCCGGGTTGGACACGCCTTCCGCTTTCGCCTTGTTCGCGTGGAGCTTGGAGAGGTCGCGGTAGAGGCGCAGGTACTTGTGGAGGAAGATGTAGCCCACGAACGAGACCCCGCAGTGGACGAACGTGAGGGCGAAGCCCCACGCGTCGAGCCGGTTCTGCACGCGCGTCCGCGCCTCGTCGCTCTCGTACCAGAACGCGGGGCCCTCGTCGTCGTCGGCGACGACGTCGTCGTCGAAGGGGTCGCGGTCGTAGCCGAAGGGGTTCGCCTGCCCCGCGAAGCCGCCCTTGTTGCAGAACTTGGCGACGCCGATCAAGAGGATGCCCTGGATCAGCAAGACGGCCATGGCGTTGAAGAGGTAGACCTCGACGGCCGTCAGGTAAGGCACGGCGGGCAGGCGGTCGCTCATGTAGCTCTTGAAGCTCACGGCCGTGAGGAACAGGGTGAGCGTCACGGACGCGCGGTCCGCGAGGTCGCAGGGCGGCACCCAGTAGACCATGAGGCTCAGCACCTCGATCATGAACGTCGGCACGACGGCGTTCCACATCGTCGACGTGTACTGGCGGGAGACGAAGAGCAGCACCGTGTACTCGTTCAATCGCGGCCTTTGGCCCTGCGTCGCGACCTCCGCGCCGCTCAGCGCGAAGATCGTCTCGATGCGCACGTCGTCGACGTTGTCGGCGTTCTCCAGGATGCGGTGCCGCCCGCGGTTGCCCGCGCAGGGCAGCGGATGGCCGAGCTCGAGCTTGAAGTACTTGCCGAAGAGCATCTCGCCCTCCGTCTCGCACTGGAGGCAGAGGCACTGCATGTCGAAGGGGTAGTTCTTCAGGTCCAGCGCCTGGCGGAACGCCACCGTCGCGCGCCGCCGCAGCCGGAACAAGCGCGCGGGCCGGCCGCCGGCGTCGACGACGGCCGCGCCGAGCTCGTCCTTGCCCACCATCGCGTTCGCGCGCGCCTCGTCGTCGCCGCCGAAGATGTTCGCGCGCTCCTCCGAGTTCTTGAAGAAGACCTTGACGGCCTTCGGTAAGAAATGTTCCAGCCAGAAGCTCTCGCAGTTGCGCCACTGGTCCTCGCTGATCTCCCACTCGATGCCGACGCTCACCGTCGCGTGGAACGTGTTCTCGACCTCGACGACGTCGATGAGCGTGATGATGGTCACGTCGATGCGCGCGCGCACGGAGAAGCGGTAGCCGTCGTGGTGGCCCTGGACGCGCACGTTGCCGCCGACGGGCGGCATGGCCTCGTCCCAGTCGCCGGACGTGTCCGCCGACCCGATGCGCCGGGAGGAGCCCAGGTCCTCGTCGCGCATGGAGATGCGGTCGTGCATGTTCTGGCCCTTTGTCACGTGCAGCGACCCCGTGCCGGCGCTGTTGCCGCGCTCCATGATTAGGGCTGCCCGGCAGCGCTCAAACCGGTTGCGGGCATCTCGCGTTCCCGGTCCGAGCCAGGATCGATCGGCAGCAACTTTGGCTCGGAGCCGCCGGGTTGCAGTTCTCCTCGAGCGCGTCGCGGGGTCGGGCGAGACATCTTAACAACATGACACAGGGCGCGCGCGGATGCTTTAAGGGCGACGGGGGCTCTCGTGCGAATGTGACTAGCTGGGTCGGCGATACGGGAGGTTGCTTTCGCGCGCGAACTCTTTGACTTGACTTTCGATGAACTGCTTCTTGTCCAGGTTGCTTTTCAAAAAAAGTTTTGTCCAGTCTTTCTTGGCATGGATGCGATAGAGCCACATGCGCTTGTGGCCGACGGGGTCATGGATCTTGCGCCACTCCTCTTCGTCGTCCAAGCTCGCCCGGAACCGGTTGATCTTCTCGAGCCGCTCGGGAGAATACAAATTGGGACGACGACTCATCCTGGCCTTCGCAAAGATGCTGCTTGGCAGCTCCAGCGGCTTCTTCTCCTCCGCCATGTGCGCCTTCCAGGCGGGCGTTTCCCAGGGCTCGACGCGTGCGCGCTTCGGCTTCGCGTCGTCCTCCGAGTCGCTCTGCGTCAGGTCGATCGCGGCGCGCTTCGCCTTACGCTTCGGCGGCGTCGAGGCGGGCGCGCGCGCGCGCTTGGCCTCGCACGCCGCGAGCGTCGGACCGAGCGCCGTGTAGTCGACGCCGAGTTTGGATGCTATGGCCTTGACATCGGTCAGTATTGTCGCTGTTTTCTCGATTCCCATGCCTTCGAGGAGCAAATTGGCGCGCTCGCGCAGCGTCGTGGCCATGGTTAATGGCCAGCAGAGAATGCCAGACGAGGTCGACGGCGTCCGCGTCACATGCGCTCTCACAGGAGCATGTGAGCCTAGTTATTTTAGACCCCCAGTCGCCGGGGTCGCCGACGAAAAAAACGATCGAGACAGCTTACGTATACTCCCCCCCCGCCCCTAGTCGTCGTCGTCGAGCAGCCCGCCCTCGTCGGCGCAGGTGCCGACGAAGACGACGAAGTAGACGATGATGGGCAGCAGGCACACGTCCGTCATGGAGATGAGGCAGACGACGGGGTGCTGCTTGAACCAGTCGCGGTCGATGGACAGGTCGTAGCTGATGAAGGGGATGAGGCGGAAGGGCCGGATGCGCACGCCGAGGACCTCGAAGGCGCCCGTCTTCTTCTCGTCGACGAGGTAGGACGTCGTCCGGTGCGAGAGCCAGTCGTAGCCGTCGAACCAGGACGCCATCTCCTTGGCGACCGTCGGCGCGTGGCGCACGGCGGACGTGACCGTGTTGTCGAGGCTGAGGAGGAACTGGAGGCTCAGCGAGTTCATGATGATGTCCGCGATGGTGCTCTGCGTGAAGAAGAGGTAGACGGACGCGAGGAGCACGAGCTTGTAGCTCAGGAGCTGGACCTCCGCGGCGACGTAGAGGATCAGGCCGTCCTCGTCGCGCTGGAAGACCTCGACGAGGTCCGCCATGGACGCGCCGCCGGCCTTGGCGCCCGCGCCCGGCCGCGGCGACGCGTCCCGGGGCCGCTCGCGCCGCATGTCCGCGGACCCGAAGGTCCCGAGGAAGCGGAACGCGATCTGCTCGTTCTGCACGGTCTGGTAGTTCGTGAGCATCGTCGCGACGCACATGATGTAGACGCCGAGGTGGTACGTCGAGAACGCGGTCACCGTCTTGCCGCGCGCGTGGCGCGGGCAGAGCGCGTAGGGCAGCCGCGGGTTCTTGTAGCCCGCGAGGATCAGCAGCGGCAGCATGACCTGGGCCGCGACGGTCATGACGATGAGGCTGAGCAGCGTCGCGTTCATGGCCACGGCCCGGTGCTTCTTCTGCCGGCCCTTCGCGGCGAGCTGCTTATTGATGATGCCGATGCCCCACCAGAGCGTGTACACGGACGGGCTCGCCAGCGTGTTCTCGACGGCGTCCTGGAGCTGGTCGCGCCGGATCTTCCACTCGAGCGCCTCGCCCTCGGGCGCGCCGCCGCGCTCGATGCGCTCCATCTCGGAGACGCCGTCGTCGCCGACGGCGTGGATGTGGCCCAGCGACCGGAGGAAGGCGCGGTCC